TATTTGATGGGTCAAAATAAGTTAGACTATTCATGTGTTTTAACTTTGCATTCACATAAAAGATCGTTAAAATAAATATGCATAAAATGTTTACATCACAGCAACATTTTTATTTATAATGAGCATTTTTACGTAGCTACAMAAATCTTCTGTTTGTGACCACTAGGGGCCGCCCAAAACAAGCTTCTTTAGATTTTCATACAAAAAAATCCATTCACATAATTAGATCATGAAACAATTTTCAGTCAGTGTGACRGATATTTGTTTCATCCACAGGTTCCCCTTTACTCCCAGACCTTTTGAAAAAGAGAGCTTTCTGGCTCCCAACATTTGATGTCTACAACAGGTTTTCCAGGGCAAATACTGTACTTCCAGTGTTCTTTTTGTACACTTGTCCTCTAAACAGATTAAAAACTAATGAGTTTGATCCAGAACTGATATTTTATGGAATGTCAAACCAAAAGCATCAGGCAACATGTGAAGCACAAAAAGTTCATTTTAATACAGTTTCTTGTTGTTTGAGTTAAATGACTTTATAAATTTGTTGATTCTTCCTGCATTTACAGCTTCTTTTTTTTCAGCCAACAACATTTCACAGCTTTTTTCCGGCTTAAAAAATCCTCCTCAAATGTTCACAATAGCAGCAAAGTTGCCGAGCTGCCATGTCATAAATCTCTTGCGAACCCCATCTGCATGCATAGCGACCCCATGTGGCTTCCTGGAAGCAAGACTGATAAATTTTGGGGGGGCCTTTCTAATAAAAAGTGTCCCCAGAGGATCCTTTCAGGAGCGTTTCCCCKCAGAGCCTGAAGGAATACAACTGTTGATGCAACACAAGTTGAGCTGATTACAGTGCAAACTGAGACTGTAATGAAAGTGAAAGGGGAAAGGGCAGACAGGCAGAAAAGTGGGAGGGGGGGGGGGTTCAGGGGGAGAGAAAAGGAGCGTAAGAGGAGAGCAGCCAGGGGAGTTGACATGTAGATGCTTAATGAATTCGGTCACAGTGGCGCACAATGAAATCTTTATCCGTGGGGGATGAGGCAGGGGACTTGGCAGCGCACCGCCGTATCACTGCGAGGGTGAAAAATAGAAATCCCACTGTCCCCTGTTGGCTCTGCCTCATGTCAGCTGCCTTGGTTACAGAGCTGRCTGCCAGCAAGCCCCCCTGCCACCAATCCAGTCCAACCCTCTATCAGTCTTTTTCAGTCCAACTCTTCTTAACACTCGTGTTGTTCTAACTCTTCTTCCCCCTTGCATATTCTCACTCAGCAAACCAAAGCAAACTCCCTGCTTTAATGAAATGTTCAGCCTTTTCACAACAACTTTTTTAGCAACACATGATRACTTGAGTACAACACACTTATTACTTACCTGTATACAGGTTAAATATACAGATGATAACCCTAACTTAGGGGTGGAAATGAAACATCTTACCTTTACAAGCCTCTCTGATGATCAGTGAGATGCTCAAAACTTCCTTCTCCCTCCTCAGCCGCCACCGTTTGCTGCCGCTTTCTCACTTTTCCTCCCTTTACAAGTTCTTTCTCTTCGAGTCTTTCCACTGAAGTCTCTGATTGCACTGGTTTCATGAAAAGAGTTCCTCCACGCAGGGAAGAGGAGGTATAAAAAATAAAAATATAAAAAAACTGAGGAGGTCTCTCACCTCTCCTGATCACCTCAGCTCTTTCCAGCTTTCAGGGTGAGTGAAGTGTGAGACAAAGTAATCTTCAGGTGAAAAGACCGACCTCTTCCCTCGGCTCTACCTGYGCGGAGCGGAGCGTGTACACGAGCTCACTCAGCAGCTCCCCTTTTCGTGTCTGAGCACTGTGCTGTTGCTCCATCCATTCCCCTCGTATCTCTGCCTCCCCTCCACTCCCCTCTCTCCCTCCCTCCATCCATTCCTCGCGTGGCTCATGAATGCTTAGACATGGCAATCGTGGCTGAAAGGCTCCGAATTAACCCGCAAGACTCGAAACGTACTCCTACGCTCCACTCACKTTCGCAGCTTTTCTTTTGTTCTCCCTTTTGCAGCGACCCCTCTCCCCGTGTATGTGACCCTGCTGAACAGTACAATCAGCTCTTTTTAGGTGGAGTGATAGTCTGTTAACTTTGCGGGTCCCACACTTTGCTGGRTTTTACCAACGGACTCTCTGAAGCTGGTGTGAAAGATTAGTTTCCCATCCACAATAAAGGTGTAATCAGGCTGTTGGATTTCATGCTTCACRCATGGACGCACCTTATAAGAAAATTGGCTCATAAAAGAATCATATGCTAAAGCAGAAATGTCTGAGATCATTGAGTAMATATTTACTTCCTCCTTTTTATTAGCTAATTAATGATTAAACATCCCCAATTAAGAGGCTCAGGAGCATTTGTGATGCACTCTTTGGATCCTGAGCTGCTCACATGACACGGAGTCTTGCATTTAAACTGTAATTTCAAGTCCAGGGGTCTCATTTACAAAGAATTGCGTGGAAACCATACTAAAAGTGAACGTACGGCCAAAAGACGGAAATGGCGTACTCCAAAAAATTTTTCAGATTTGTAAAACCGGACGTACGCATGTTTCTGTGCATCTTTCCTTTATAAATCACAGCCGCACGTCAGAGTTTGTGCAC